CGAAGGGGTGGAGATGTGACAGTTCATGGTGGTGGCCTGTCTCAAGTCATCGGGAACCTGGTGACAAACAACACGGAATTAGTTTAGTTACCCAGTGACTAAAACAACAACAATAATAATAATAATAATAATGGTGCTGACAATAGTAATAGTCGTAATAAAGATAATAATAATAATAGGTACAGTTTATTAGTGCATTATACCATACTAACACATCCACACTTTTTCACTACCCAACCTCCCCCAACCACTCCTCCCTCACTCACCCCCCCCAAACAGGTGAGAGATGAAATAAAACGGGAGGAGAGAAGGGCGCGGGAGGAGAGGAAGGGGCGGGAAGGAAGGAGGGAGGGAGGGAAGGGAGGGGGAACTAACATGCTCTCATTAGCCTTCAATTGTCCAGGTATAAAACATCCCCTCCACTCCCTCCCTCCATCACCCCTCTCATCCTCATCACCCCCTGATGTACCCTCCCCTCCCTCACCCCCTCATTGCACACTATCCCCCCTCACCCCCTCCCCTCCCTCCTGCACCTCCCTCCCTCACCCTCCCTCCCTCCCTCCTCCTCACCCTCCTCCACCCTCCCTCCCTCACCCCCCTCTGCACCCTCCCCTCCCTCACCCCCTCCTGACCTTCCTCACACTACACCTTCTCGACACGACAGGAAGCGTAACACACACACGAGACAATGTATGTATGATTGTGTTTGTACGTGCATTAAGGTGTACAGTGGTATGTGTCAGTATATACAGGTGTGTGTGTGTATAAAAGTGTATGTGTGTGTGTATAAGGGTGTATGTGTGTGTATAAGGGTGTATGTGTGTGTGTATAAGGGTGCCTGTGTATAATGTGTGGTCAGGGGTGTAGTGACTCCCTGTATAATGTTTACCTTCCCGGGATCAGCTGACGCTCCATTACCTGTGTAAACAAAATAGCGACACCTGCATCACACCTGAACGACTCTACTGTTATGGGTCACCTGATTATTAGACTCCAGCTTATTTCACCTTATGATTAAACACCTTAAATCTAACCTAACCTAAATTTAACTCTGACCTGACCTGACCTAACATAATCTACTAAAGTGTGTAGAGTGTGTGGTGTGGGGGAAGCATCAAGGTCACTCACTCCAACCTGGGTGTGTGCATACCCTGGAGTTTCTCTCTACCTAACTACATAGCTACATACATACATACAGCTGTAGTGCTCGTTTACGCCAGAGTGAGCAGAGAAGAGGATTCCTTGGGACAGTCTGTAAGGTACTGGTCAGATATGGAGGGGGAAGAGGAGGGGAAGGAGGAAGAAGGGAGGAGGAACAAAAAAGACGAGGATAAATTACAGGAAGCGAAGAAGGAAGGGGTAAGGTAAGGACAAGAATGAGGAAGAGGAAAATGAATAAGAGCTCAAAGACAAAGAGAAGGAAAGTGAGAGGAAGGATGAGGAGGGAGGGAGAGAATACCAGAGACTGAGGTAAGCGAGTATAGGAGGTCCCACCCACCTACACTGTGCCGTAAGAGGAAAGGTTTATCAACTCTTACCTGTGTGTGTGTGTGTTGTACGGTATACACACTCTGGTGATAGGCTTAGTTGCATGATCGCCACCCTATGCAAACGACCCTTCTCTCTCTCTCTCTCTATCTCTCTCTCTCTCTCTCTCGCAAGGTAGAGAACACGGAGACCAAGCAGGAGGCCGGGTAAGTGAGGGCTGAGCGAGGTAGTGGAGGGCAGAGTTGAAAGAGCAGTGGATCTGATGGTATTTATGAGAATACCTCTGGCAGAGTCTGGTACAAGTGAGGTCTCTCTCTCAACACAGGTCAGAGGTGCAGTATTGTAGGTAATGAGGCCAAGCAAAACACCTGCCTGGACCAACAGTGACTAGAAGCCTGAGTGGGACCTCACGTAAACAAACAGGTGTAGCAAGGAGGGAGGGGTAAGGGTGGGAGGGGGTAAGGGTAGGAGGGGGGGGGCAAGGCCGGCCAGCTTCTTTTTTAACTACATTCTTAACGGAAAAGGAGAAAGGGGGGTGAGGGGGAGGTGGGGGTGATGGGGGGAGGGGGAGGTGTGGTCATGGAGGGAGGTGGGGTGATAAGAAAATAAGGAGTCTGCAATAGGCCGGTTGGCCTGTGCATGGCAGATCCTGTCGAGAGTTACTACCACTCTCTATCATCCATGAATCTATCTAGCCTCCTTTTAAAACTTTCCAGCGTTCCAGCACTTACTACAAAGTTGCTAAGCTTGTTCCACTCGTCTACCACCCTATTTGTGAACCAGTTCTTCCTATCTCCCTCCTAAACCTAAACTTATCCAACTTAAATCCGTTGCTCCGAGTCCTATCCTGCTCGGATATTATAAGAACTTTATCTATATCACCTTTATTGATTCCTTTCACCCACTTAATACTTCTATCATATCTCCCGCACTCTTCGTCTTTCTAGGGAATGCAAGTTAAGTTTCCTTAGCCTATCCTGATATGGAAGGTTTCTAAGTCCCGGAATATTTTTGTCATTCTTCGCTGCACCGACTCTAGTGAATTGATATCCATTCTATAATAAGTGATGTGGGGGAGTTGGGGTGCTGGAGGGAGGGGGTGCTGGAGGGAGATGGAGGAGGTGGGGCTGGAGTGATGGGAGGTGATGGAGGGAGGTGGGGTGATGGAGGGAGGTGATGGAGGGAGGTGGGGGTGGGGGTGATGGGGTGCTGGAGGGAGGGAGGTGGGGTGATGGAGGGAGGTGGGGTGATAGGGGAGGTGGGGTGATGGAGGTGGGGTGCTGGAGGGAGGTGGGGGTGATGGAGGAGGTGGGGTGATGGAGGAGGTGGGGGTGATGGAGGAGGTGGGGGTGATGGAGGGAGGTGGGGTGATAGAGGGAGGTGGTGGGAGATGATGAGAGTGAGAGAAAAGAGAAGGGGGGGAGGAGGGAGGAAATGATAGAGAATCAAGAGAGAGAAGATCATAGTAACAGTGTGTGTGTGGGGTATACCTTAAGCTGGGGGTCATTACAGGTGAGCCACAGGTAGGAACAGCTCATTGGTACAGGTGCAGTGACCAGGAAGTCGAGGATACTGGAGACTGTTAATGAAGACAAGGTGAGCATATTATCTCTCTCTCTCTCTCTCTCTCTCTTTCTCTCTCTCTCTCTCTGTCTGTCTTTCTGGGTGTCTGAGTGTCTGTCTATCTGTCTTTTTTGTTTGTTCTTGTGTCTGTCTTTATTTGTCTGTCCTTGTGTCTGTATGTCTATTTATTGGATTTCCTGACTGTGTGTGTGTGTGCGTGTGTGTGTTTAATGACCACAGCAGAAGCTCCACTAACTTCACTGCAATCACACCCATCACTACCACCACCACTACCACCGCCTTCACCTCTTAACTAAGCTAACGACCGTCTTCCTCCAGGGCCAGGTGGTTGTATCCCCCAACCATCCACCACCACCACACAACACCTACAACCACATGGCCCCCACCACACCCCCACTAACAGAACAACCACAACATCCCCCTACCACCATCTATACTCAACACTCAGCGGTACCGAACACAGGAATAACAACAACAAGAATTAATAACAATAAGTAAACACACACACACACGTAAAGGTTGACACAGGTTCTTCACGACTGACTGCATGTGTGTGTGTGTAATAATAATAATAATAATAATTAACGGTTTATTGAAAAAGTTCTGCAGCCCGAACGCTGAAAATATACATTGGACATAAATTACTTATTACATACATTGGTGGTTTAACAAAAGCCTTCATTAGAGAAAGGTGAAGGAACACACAGTGAACATACAGATTAATGTAGGTGTTGAACAGCAAACATGTAGTGTAGTAACTCCCTCCCAGATGGTGTTAGGAGGGACCTCACGTGGTGTAGTAGTTCCCTCACAGATGGTGTTATGAGGGGCCTCACGTGGTGTAGTAATTCCCTCACAGATGGTGTTATGAGGGGCCTCACGTGGTGTAGCAATTCCCTCACCGATGGTGTTATGCGGGGCCTCACGTGGTGTAGTAATTCCCTCACAGATGGTGTTATGAGGGGCCTCACGTGGTGTAGTAATTCCCTCACAGATGGTGTTATGAGGGGCCTCACGTGGTGTAGTAATTCCCTCACAGATGATGTTATGAGGGGCCTCACGTGGTGTAGTAATTCCCTCACAGATGGTGTTATGAGGGGCCTCACGTGGTGTAGTAATTCCCTCACAGATGATGTTATGAGGGGCCTCACGTGGTGTAGTAGTTCCCTCACAGACGGTGTTCTATGAGTGAGGTGTGGTCCCAGGCCTTCCTATCGTAGACGGATTAACACATCGCTGTTGTTGGGTCGGGCCGTTATCACTGAGTACCTGGGACCTCACTGTGTGAAGGTCAACTTGGGTACCACTGCCACTGCTGAGTTGTTCTCACTGACTCAAGCACTGTTCACCACCGTTCACCTCTGTTTAACACTGGTTCCATTCCTTTCCTAAATGAAATAGCAACTTCTAGCGTGAACTTGTTGATATTCCGGTGGGGAGGAGGGTTCAGGGGAGGGAGCTGGTATGGGTCAACTTAACAGTTGACCTGGCAGCTCCGAGAGGAGCGCCAGGCACGTCTTGACCCTTCGGTGGATGAAGTGAAGTGAAGTGAAGTGTGATGTGTGTGTGTGTGTGTGTGTGTGTGTGTGTATGTGTGTGTATGTGTGTGTGTAAAACTTCCTCATACACCTCAATAAACACAACAAAGAACACTGTAAACAAAAACACAAAAGAAACACTGTAAAATATGTTGCAAAAGACGACGATACCTGATGTATGTAAATCACTCCCACGATTACCGTTGTGTTGACGATGACGTATTATTATGTTAAGAGAGAGACGAAGATTTACATAAGCGTCCATTACCTGATCTCTGTGTCCTGGTCGACTTCTTCTGTTCAACACAACAACTCATGATGAAATATTCTGGTTTGGATTTAACAACAAAAAACTTGATAAAGATAAAAACTGAAGAGACGTTAAATGATGTAAGTGGAGTTATTAGATAAAAGAAAGAACAAGGTATAAGGAGAGGAAAAGGAAAA